TACTAGCTACCTTTATTCTTACATTCATGAAGCAATCGCCCTTTGTTGTTTTCAAAGCGTTACTTCGGCTATACAATTAAAGGGTTAATTAAATATCATAAGAGGCTGGAATGATATAAGCGACGCAGAGTGCGCGTGCCTAAACTGTTGATCTGCCTCGTTAAAGTTATGATATCATTTTCGCACCTCTGCAAGAATTGTTTTGATTTGCATTTAACGTAAGTATGTAAGATAGATGCACATCTCCGAATTTCCTGAACCAATTGGATACACCAATCTTTCTAAATCGAGCAAAAAAAAAATAGAAAATATATATATTTTTTCCGAGTTAATCGGATATCAGTTTTGTTAACCGAATATTCGGACGTTCGATCGAGTACTCGGTTAACCGGTTACTCGTTGCCATCCCTACTAATTACCTATGAATACATAAATTTTACAGAAAAGGTACAAAGGCTTGTTATTAAGATGTTTTATCAAGTAAATCACTACTTTATTATTATGAATTGCATAAAATTGTCCAAAAAAGGCACAAACCCCTTCAGTAGTTATTGAGATAACAGCTTACAAGCAAAACTTTACCATGAATTTCTCAAAGTTGAAAAAGGGGAGAAAAATCAGCCTAAAATGCAAGTTATAGAATTATGGATCTTTTGTCAGGTGAGCCTACAATTAGACCCTAAATGCATATGTGAAGTTTTAAAAAAATATCTTTAATAGTTATTGAGATATATGTAAACTTGCATGTATAAACAATTAACAAGAAACTAAAGTAGACAAGAAACATGGCAATGCCATGAAACCAGTTTTTCAATTATCACCATTGTAGATTTAAATATGTTGTATTTTGAAATTACAAATACCAAGCAACAAACAATCGTAACTATGTTGCAATGTAAAACATGAATTAAATGTAGGAGGAATTGCCACTGAAGAAGTGTTCACGTATAATATTATGTATAAGGAAAAAAAACAAAGGCCATAAATTAGGTAAAAAACTATCCAATCACAAAACCCCGGACAATATGTGCCAGGGTGCTTGATGACAAAGCTTTCTGTGAAAGTTTGAACAAAATCCGTTGAGAAAATGTAGGACGAGTTCAGCACAAGAAGAATTTGTTCACTATAATTATATTGATAATTCTGTATAATGAAAAACAAGTTACAAAGTAGACATGAAATAAATATATCATATCTTTTTAAATTACCTCCAAAGATGAATATGACCTTTGTCTGCCAAATCAAGTTAAAATCATGTAAACAGGATTTTCAATGTTAATGTCACTGTGACCTTGACCTTGGAGCCAGCCATGCGGAACATGCGTTCTGCACGTCATCTTGATGTGGTAAACATTTGTCTGAAAGTTTCATAAAAATTCTTCAAAGGGTTGAAGAGTTAAGAGCGGACAGGATTTTCAAAATTTTAAAGTCCCGTGAAACCCTTACTTGGGGCCGCCATGCGGAACATGCCCTTTTAAACCCTCATTTGGGGTGGTAAACCATTTGTTTTGAAGTTTTCAAAAATTCTTCAAAGGGGTTTAAAATTTTCAGAGCGGACACAATTTCGTTTGACGCCCTGCCCGCCCATCCGCCCGCCATACCCCAATCTAATAACCAGGATTTTCAAAATTGAAAACATTTGTTCACTATAAGTATATTGATAATTCTGTATAATGAAAAACAAGTTACAAAGTAGACATGAAATAATATATCATATCTTTTTTAAATTACCTCCAAAGATGATATGACCTTTGACTGCCAAATCAAGTTAAATCATGTAAACAGGATTTTCAATGTTAATGTCACTGTGACCTTGACCTTGGAGCCAGCCATGCGGAACATGCGTTCTGCACGTCATCTTGATGTGGTAAACATTTGTCTGAAGTTTCATCAAAATTCTTCAAAGGGTTGAAGAGTTACAGAGCGGACAGGATTTTCAATGTTAATGTCACTGTGACCTTGACCTTGGAGCCAGCCATGCGGAACATGCGTTCTGCACGTCATCTGATGTGGTAAACATTTGTCTGAAGTTCATTCTCAAATTCTTCAAAGGGTTGAAGAGTTACAGAGCGGACAGGATTTTCAATGTTAATGTCACTGTGACCTTGACCTTGGAGCCAGCCATGCGGAACATGCGTTCTGCACGTCATCTTGATGTGGTAAAACATTTGTCTGAAGTTTCATCAAAATTCTTCAAAGGGTTGAAGAGTTACAGAGCGGACAGGATTTTCAATGTTAATGTCACTGTGACCTTGACCTTGGAGCCAGCCATGCGGAACATGCGTTCTGCACGTCATCTTGATGTGGTAAACATTTGTCTGAAGTTTCATCAAAATTCTTCAAAGGGTTGAAGAGTTACAAGAGCGGACAGGATTTTCAATGTTAATGTCACTGTGACCTTGACCTTGGAGCCAGCCATGCGGAACATGCGTTCTGCACGTCATCTTGATGTGGTAAACATTTGTCTGAAGTTTCATCAAAATTCTTCAAAGGGTTGAAGAGTTACAGAGCGGACACAATTTCGTTTGACGCCCGCCCGCCCATCCGCCCAGCCGCCCATCCGCCCATCCGCCCGCCATACCCCAATCTAATAACCAGGATTTTCAAAATTGAAAACCTGGTTAAAAAGGGGATATGAATCAGCCTTAATGCAAGATAGAGTTATGGAACTTGGTCAGTGACATACAATTATGACCCTCCAATTATGACCCTAAGTGCATGTGTAAAATTTCAAGTAAATATCTTTGAAGACCGTTAACCTTTAACCAAAATTTCAAAGGGGCAAATAATTCTGCAAATATTGCAGACAGAGTTATGCAATTTTGCAAACTGATGTACATTGTTACTATAAATAAGTATTTTAAATTTCAATTGATTATCTCAAGCAATAATTGAGATATTTGACTTTACAAAAAACTTTAACCAAAATTTCTAAGTTCCAAAGGGGCATAATTCTGTCAATATGGTAGGCAGAGTTATCCAACTTGTCAATCTGATGTACATTGTTACTATAAATAAGTATTGTAAGTTTCAATTGAATATCTCAAGCAATAATTGAGATATTTGACTTTACAAAAAACTTTAACCAAAATTTCTAAGTTAAAAAGGGGCATTATTCTGTCAATATTGTAGGCAGAGTTATCCAACTTGTCAATATGATGTACCTTGTTACTATAAATAAGTATTGTAAGTTTCAATTGAATATCTCAAGCAATAATTGAGATATTTGACTTTACAAAAAACTTTAACCAAAATTTCTAAGTTAAAAAGGGGCATAATTCTGTCAATATTGTAGGCAGAGTTATCCAACTTGTCAATCTGATGTACCTTGTTACTATAAATAAGTATTGTAAGTTTCAATTGAATATCTCAAGTAATAATTGAGATATTTGACTTTACAAAAAACTTTAACCAACGCAGACGCCGACGCGGACGCTGACGCCGACGCCGGGGCGACTACAATAGCTCTCATATTCTTCGAATACTGCGAATTTACTTATATTCGTGGGCATGAAATTTCGTGGTTTTATCAAAACGGGCATTTTCGTGGGTTCTTAAATTCGTGGATTTTCGTTTTCTTGTTAAAAAAAAAATTCAGTAACCTAATGCAAAGTAATCTTAAACTTAACCGCCGAACATTTTTACTTACAACGTGTACATATCTTTACTTGTCACACAGCGCTTGTCAATAAATTAAATCCTTGCCTCTGGGCATAACTCTAATATAGCACAGTTACTGCCGATAATTGACTGCAATTAACACATTTATGTGACATGATATGCACTTCCATTGGACACACTGACCCTGTAATTCGCCGATGTAAACATCGCATAATTTATACGACACCTGACATGTTTTAACCAGCGAGTTAAAAAGTTTACACCCTGAATTGGTCTTTACATATTTGACAGTAACTACACGCAACGTCACAGCGACTGTGTAAATTTACATGCATATAAATTAATCTCGGTAAATAACACGAGTATATGTGAATCTTGTAAAAGTCGGTGGCGTCTTTGATGTTTACGGAATAGCATTCGCACAAATACGGATTAAAATTCATATAAACTTGATCATTTAAAAACGACAAAAGAATGTACAATAAATCTGTTTTAGCGATCGTATTTTTTTATAGTTTTGTGTACTTACGACATTAATATCAAAGACTTTTTTTTAATTAATAAAAGCAAACTGACAATTTTTATTAGCACTGCCTGGGTTCCCATATTTACTTGATTATGTCACGTATTCTTGTTAACACAATCAAGTCCTAGTAGACTACAACGATCAAGTCCTAGTAGACTACAACGATCAAGTATGTATATGCGACATTTGTGACAGTAAATTGAGGACATATAATCGAGTTTTCTTTCAAGTTTCTCAAATATTGCAAACGGATTTAATATGACACTAACCTGATTATCTGTCTGTATTTACATCCATTTCACGAAATATCGGCCGGAAAAGAGCCGACGCATGTTTTTAATATATATAGAACAGAGACTGGGTAAGAAGTATTTGTTGGGATAAAAGTTCGTCGGATCTTAAATTCGTGGATTGACCTACCCATGAAAACCACGAAAATTCGTGCCCCACGAATAATAATGATTTTACAGTAGTCGAGCTAATAATATATATGTATTGTTTTAACTTAAGTGCAGTGAATTTAGAGAAGTGAACACCAGATACAATATAATTTTTAGGAGTGGCTGAGAGGGCCCTGGTGGCATTTCATATGCCATCAATAAAGATAACACAGCTTTGTTCACAAGTGAAAAATAAATTTGACTTTACGTGTAAAACAATCCAGTTTCTCTATTTAGTTTATGCTTTTTCAAACGATAAAATATATATTTTTATCAACTTGTGCTATTTTCTAATCATTTCTGTTAAAATGAATAAGTAAAGATTTACATTTTATATGTGGATGCATAATGTTCCTGTGAGATATAAAATATCAATATTATCAAACAACATGTAGAAACAATATTATGCTTACGATTTTATGTTAACCATGGAGTGAGGGATCCCAGTTGGTGTTTTAAATGCGGGCAACAACTTTTCTGCAATCCCTGCAGCCTTCTCCTTGAAGATCTGAAACAAAATAAACCAATTTAACTCAAATATCAGAAGCATTTACATCTCCCCCTGTAAACCATTGCTCTTTGTAGTTAACAGACAATTAAATAGATGCCATCCCAATGTGAATGATTGTGTCCATAAACATTTTCTTTCAAATTACTTTTACTTTATAGGGAAACTCTATATCACTTAATAACCTTGGATTATACCACAAAATAAATAAAATCCCAGCTAATTATAGATAAACATTATTGGCTGATAGGTCTCATGACATCTTATTAGTAATAAAACTTCATTCCCTCATAGGCATAAAAGATAAGTTGATTTCTGGAGAATGGATTGTCAAATATACCAGTTTTACCAACACTGTAATTTCTCATGGCAAATAAAGTCAAGGATGCATTGTAATTCCCCAGTATAAAATGATCATAGTAATCACCAATGGTCTATAGCTAACTTATATCCATTCTTCTGATTACCAAATTAACCTTGAGGTTAAAAGTGCTCAATTATATAGGCAATTTGACAGTGTCTTTTTATAGAACTCAATCAGAATAGAAGTGTATTACTCTTCCCGTGTTAATAACAATAACAAGACTGAAAAGATCAATGGAGAGTTATAAAGTTTCTTCCATAGAACTTAAGTTACAGTTTATAAAACCATTGTACACCCTGATGTTTCTGAAGCTGGTAGTTACTTCTAGGTAAAAAGTTCATAACTAAATCCTTAAGAACATTTAATCTGCTTACTGGAGATTTTATATCTGGTCTGGTTAGGTCAACAATATCATTATGTTTAAAACAAGAGCACTGCACACTGTGTTAATGATAAAACGTGTTAACTGTTATGTGTTAACTGTTAATGATTGTCTGTTAAAAATTCTAAGTTAGAAAGGGGCATAACTTCAAAAATATTGACACCACTGCACCTTGTCATGAGAAGCAAGTATTCCAAATTTCATGTTGATACCTTTTGAAAGGTTTGAAAAATGGGCTACATTAAAGTTTTTACATGAAAGCAATGACGAAGACATCTCAAGGACGACGATGCCACAGCTATCATTATAATATAGGTTGACTTTTTCTTCGAAACAGACCAGCTAAAATCACAGAAAGTAATGGATATTTTTTTCCTTCAGAAAAGGAAATATAGGTTTAATCTTTAAATCCAATATACAAAGATAAATATACAAACAGTCAAAGCTACTGCTTATGGCCTCATTATTATCATGAACATTTGTAAATGTCCAACATGGCCTTTTTTTCTAATTGCTCTGCTTCAATCAAAGCTATGTTAATTGCTAATTAAAATATATTATTGACCCATATTTATTATGTTCACCACTTTTGAATTGCTCAGTAAAATATTACATATATAACAGATTATGTTCATACTATTGAAATGATTGGTAAAATATTGGCCAGTGAATTATTTATTATGTCCATTAATTGGTCAACTATATTATATTCATCCTTCTTACAACAAGAAAATGCTTAGTAAAATATTGGCCTGCAGTAACTTGTCCAACTTTTCTTCTATAGCTGTATCCTTCATGCAACTAATGAACTATTGTATTCTTTATTTCAAAATAAAAAGAGACAAATCTCTTCTTTCCCTGAATTTGACTACCAAGATATATCTGTAATACTCAATGTAAAATTCTCCAGTAAGTAATTCAATAGGAAAATCATTGACAACTGGGAACACTTAACATATCTTTACCGTCCTCTAATTATACACTTTCAACATTTGATTACTGATTCATATAAAGATGATCCGCAAAAATCAATGATCTTTTCTGGGCGCTTTAATGTTGATGTTTTCATTTTTTTTTCTTAGATTTTCTAACAGTTGAGAGGAAAAGACAGGAAGAGAAAGATGTCTTTCATTTACAAGCAAGATTTCATTAATGGAAAACAAACAAGTAAAAATCAAGAGACTCTGGCAGATTTACATATAAAGTTAATATTTCATTGATTTTTGTTACAAAAATTCATTTAGACTGACTAAGAATGTTATATAAATCTGGAAATTTTTAAGATGAGCTTTTCTCATTTATATGATATTCTAATAAAGAAATGATTTTAAATATACAGTAATTCCATTTTACATTATAGCATTTTGTTTTTCATATAATTGTGTTAAGGTCTGCAATGTTCCAATGAAATAGGAAGATTTTTTTGTGAATGAAGTAAATTTAAAACAACAACTTGCAGAAGAAAAAAAAATAAACAGCCAAATATTGAATTTTGACAATATCCATTTGGGAAAAAAGAAATTTCCAACAACTGCAGATCCAAGCCTGTTGACCAGGTCCATCTTTAAAGTAAAACGAAATCAATGCTATAATATAGTGCTTTTAATATCTTGCATTGATTTGAAACTAGCCATTTCAATTTGAGGGATTTTTGAACATAAACAGCTACAACAGGTTACAGCCAACAGTACAATCTAACTGCTACAAGATGGGTCAACTTCCACGATAACCGCCATATGAACACATCTGTGGATGTTTCTTAACCCTTTACCTCATATATACGCGAAACAACGCACTTTTGACCCCCCCCCCCTTTTTTAAGGCCTGAAATAATGTGCTATTTGGGCCCCAAACATATGTTTTCGTTTGAGAAATGTTGCTAAAAAAGTAAGCACTTTTTCGGCGCCGCCCACCATCCAAAAGATACATCCCCAAGAAAATTTTGGACTTGTGAGAGGCTTAAAATGACCCCAGGTCGATCATAAGGTATTGTGTAACCAACGCTGAAAAGCATTTGACTCTATCTCAATCCCTTGAGAAGTTGCAGCACTTTGAAATAAATTTTGATGGAAAAAATCGAGGCAAAATAGTGATTTTTGGCAATTTTGAGATGTCCCCTCGTTGCCATGGTAACAGAAAATTTAAGATTGAGCATGTCGTTACAAAGGCAATGGTCCAGTCAACATTTGTGCCAAGTTTGATTAGTATTGAAGCATTTTTCCTAGTTTCATAGCAGTTTGAACTTGTAAGAGGAGGCTTTTCAACGAAAACTTCCATTTTTCACAATATGCTCATGGGGGAAAGGGTTAATTCAAAATTTCACCATTTTCGCATACAAATGTTGAATAATGCTTAAGCCAGTGCTAAGGGGTGTTGACGGTAACCAATGCACTTTCCAGTACCATTCATGAACAGACCTATCAAACTGAGCCTGTAAAATTTTCAATTTTGTCATGTTGAGTTTTCTTTAGGGATTCTGTTTTTCTCTTTTCTATTGTACTTATGCTGGTGAAATAGGGAACTCAATTAGTTGTACAATTTTTCTTTATTAAAGGCCCTTTCCCTATTATATTTCCATATTCATTCAATTAAGTCTGTGTTTATGACAATATTCTGTGCATAAAACAAGCAGCACCAGCCACTTATTGTCCACTATAATATTATTTCATTATAAGACTTATACTAACTGAGAGGTTCCTCTAAGCAATTATTATCAGCATCAAAGTACTATTGTAAATGATTTTATATCAATAATTAATGAGCACCTACTTACAATACTGATCATTTCAGCTACCTGGGTCATAAAATGTGTTTATTGTTACAATATTACCAGGTCCAATACAAGAGTAGTTACTGGAAATACTAACTTCTATAGTTATTTCAAAATGTTATCATCATATTCATTTATCACATCTATTTATCAGAGTGTTAATGGATTACATAGATTTAGTTCCTATTTTTCTAAGCATTGTTAGACCATTGAAATCTTAATTAAACATTTGAAATACAGTTATTATACTGAAGCATTAGAACCTATATATTTATGAATGAGTTCAATATAACCACCCCTAACATTGCAGAATTTCATTTTTTCAGTATTTTATCAAGTAATAATGGTAACATTAATCTAACTCTTGTCAATAATTTTTTTTTTCTGATTAATTACAATACATCAAACTGCAGCAAAGAGCAAAATTACAACTTCAATTATCGAAGATGTTTGCCTCAACTTGTCACATAAATTAACCTTACTTATATATAATGTAAGTTCAAATATTCAGGCAAATATTTGGCAAAGTCTTAGTTTATACAGTATTTATTTAAGTTTGATTGTGTAGGAAGTTATAAGCTTATTAGAACACACAAACCATTACGAATAAGTTTCCTGGAACGAAAACCATATTACAAATAAAAATTGAATGTAACAGGATTTCTTGCTTAAGAGAAAAAAACATTAATGTGCACCCATAGAGAGGGGGTTAGAACCCCAAACATAAGGCCGAAAACCATTATTACTTAAGTCCTGATGCACATTTACACAAACTCTGGAACATCTGCCACCACTAACTTTTTTTCAACAACGTCCCTGGCATTTAGAGTGTGTAATTCTCTTGAAACAATGTCAAGCCTTGATTTTTGTATATTCCATATTCTGAATAGGACAAAACTTATTCAACGTAAGCAATATTTACATAGATAAAATACAATCTGGAGAAACCTTTTGTCTCTAAAAGAAGCAGTAAGCAAAGATTGGCATCATTTTGACATGCAGTCATATATCATTAGAATAGTAGATATTTGATACTGCCTTTAACTAGTTAAGAGAATATAACACAATATAACAAAACAGTAGAGAACATCATAAATCTTGCTGTTTCATTAATCACAGGGCTAGACAGCTTCCTTATCAGGAGAATTAAGTTCTTGCAATCCATGTTGTAATTTCACGCTTTGAAAAAAAAACTTCTCAAAGATATCCGCCACTCTGTAGGGAAATAAAGTAGAAGACGATAAATGTTTTCTATGACAAGAGACCTACTGTTATAAATCACATACATGTAGACGACAGAGCTATTAGTATTAATCTACTGTGAAAGTTTTTACCAAATAAAGCTGAAACTCAGAGCTTTACTTTGGATGAAATAGTACATTCCATTTAAAAATCATAAAGTATGAAAAGATTGTTTTTTAACAAAATAGCAAAAGAAAAACTTGTACGCAAATATAAAAAAAGGTGAGACAATCATTTTGAAG